GCTCTCAGTGTTCCAGATGGCCACCCTCCCAAGAACTGACCACACCTGCTGATGCATAACTTCGGTGATCGAACGAGAACCTGTTCTTTCATCAAGGTATGGCCGTTGGCATTCTGGGCTAACATTCAAGACACTTAGAAAATGTTTTGTCATCAGCCCCGTAAAGAGACTGTGGCAAACTTCAGACTGCAAACAAGTCATGATTGCATGGCGTATCACTAATAAAATAAGCATTCTTCCATCTACTATATGCCAAATTTGTAAATTGGACATCATGAATGCAGATCATCTTATATCTCTAGAACTATATAAAAAGTCTCAAAAATGTGGTGAGATAATTCAAGAACTTTCATGAACTCTTCGTAAAAATTGCATCTCTTATGTTCCTTTTCTTGTTGTTTAAATTTTTAACTTTTCTGTTGTCCCCATGTTAGTTAGTTCTGGTTCTTGCTTTAAATGTTTGTTCTTTATTTTTATTTATCATTGTTCTTGTATGATACTTGAGCTGTTCTATATCTTTGGATTGATCCTTCCAATAAAGCCATGTGTAACAACATGAAATCGCCAGGTAACTAGTTTGATTTTTCGATGTGTTTTTTTAGCAGGGCACGACGAAGGGGAGAGCGAAGCCGGTTGGATCGAAGGTGTGGCCATCCTGGTGTCAGTGGTGATTGTGGTGTTGGTCACGGCCTTCAACGACTACACCAAAGAGCGACAGTTCCGAGGACTACAGAACCGCATCGAACACGAGCACAAATTCTCTGTGATACGAGGGGGAGAGGTCATGCAGATTCCCGTCAGCGATATAGTGGTAGGGGACATCTGTCAGGTCAAGTACGGTAAGTAATGGAGTATCAGTTCTTCATAGGAATTGGTATTAACTTTTCAAATGTTCTTTTGTTAACCCTTTCGTGGGCCATTTATTTCTCCCTTGAATTTCTCACAGTATTTTATGTTTTATTAACAAATGAAATAATAGCACTCAAGAAAATATATTTTATTTTGTCAAATTTTATGTTTGTAGTTTTAGGGGTGGGAAAATACTTCCCTAGGAACCATTCACCATCATAAAAAATAAATTTAATTGTGATTATTTGCCATAAAAAGATGAGAAACATGTTGCAATGCACAAAGGGACATCCCATTCTGCACACATGTAGCGGGCCCTCTTTTCTTGTCCCTTTCTGCTACATGTCCTACGTGGTATATAGTTGGAAACCATCTTTAGCATATGATTTCCCACACTGGCTAAGCGCACATTATCCGGAACTATACACTTCTTTGCTTGGAAGCTAGTAGATTGTCCTTTCCTTTTTCTTGAGGAATACCCGTCTATTAGTTGACGAGCTTTAGCTATACGGAATGTTAGCTGTTCTAAATTTCTGTTTCTTTTGCTCCCTTGTCACAGTATAAAACTATTTATGATGGTAAGGTCAATAACCACCATTTTACAGATCTCCTATCTATTTGGTATCTTTCATTTATTTGATCGAGATGATTCATCCATCCCATGACATCGTTATATACAGCGACAGCTTTTGGGCAAGATACTTTTTCTTCAGTGCCATCTTTTCTTTGTCCGATTTATAGATGTCATAATCGCTGGATTATGTGCAGTAGCACAAAAATGAAACGGAATTAGTCTTCTCATCGTTATAATAGCAAAACCAATATATTATAATGAGTTTTACTCTTACCGTAGGTGCTTTTTGTAAGATCATACAAATGGGAAGTAATCTTCCTAATGCCCACTAAAGGGTTAAAAACAGCTTGTATCGATTTCGTATTAAATACAAATATTACAATAGAATATAGCTCTAAAAATGTGACTTGGCTGTTTTTGTCACGTACAACTGTTTTGAAGCACTGTATGAGAATTTTCAAGAAATGTATACGTTTCAACAGACACGTCCGTTTTTGTCATCTCTCGTCCACCGTTATTTTGTGGTAAATTAAAGTAATACTCATTCTAGTTCTCAAAGGTAATAGATAAATCATTGCTAAAAAAGAAAAACATTTGTAATGATATAGTATCTGAAATACTTATAATATATTTTTGAATGTATTATAATACACAAAATATTGTACAGCAATATATTTGCGTTGCCAAATATCTTATATCTCAAACGGAATATTTCAACAGGTGACCTTCTACCAGCGGACGGCATCGTCATCCAAAGCAACGACTTGAAAGTGGACGAAAGTTCACTAACGGGAGAATCAGATCATGTCAAAAAGGGAGAAGATCACGATCCCATGCTACTCTCAGGTACATTCAATTAATTATTATTTTTTATCTACGTAAATATTATTTACTTATTTTTAAATTGTTCACAAATCAATTAGCCTTTCATTTTGTTATGTAAACAGAAATAACTTATACTAAGTGTTTAAGTTAATACTGAGATGCATTAAAAAAGCCTTCGTCAAATATAGAGAGAAAATTCATTTTTATTTAATATAGATATTTATACAGTTTATCGGTCTGATATAGATCAGATTCCAATTACACTGCCGACATTTAAAATTACAATACCAGGAAAGAAAGCAAGCAGCAAGACTTTATGTATTGTACATTACGTACACTGTGAGTGGGTGAGCGAATATTAACGTCACCTTATTCAGCTACACGAGGACTTTTAGCGATGGATCCAGTAATTTTGAACCATGGTCAAGTGACGAGGATGACACCTGAGCTGGCATCCCCTCTCCTCTCCACACCACACCAATGGGAGGACGTTTGAACTCTCGACAGATTTAACGTTCATCGCTCCCCTAAACGGTGGGTCTTCAGTGGTACTAAGCTCGAACTCATGACACGCCGGCCACGAGTCCTCTACCTTGACCACTAGGCTACAACGGCCACTCAGAAACATGTTGAGAATTTGGGGTGCGGCTTAAAATGGATGACGTTCTCTACATACTAGGTGGAAAATATTATTTAATTTGCAGCTAATTTAAGGCATACAGAGTCTGAAATTAGTAAACACAACTGCAGCATCTGGCAACAAATCTGTTCTAACCCACCCACTTAGGCTTCAAGTCAAACTGGGCTTGGATGGCAAATGCGTGAAAGTTATTCCATGCTGATTCAAGTCTATATCGAAACTTCATGAATCGAAGTAACTGGAGAGCGGCAGAATCCCAGTCTCAGGTGGAGATCCAGATTTTTCCAATGGGAGAGAGAAATGGAGAATATTCTTGCCAGAACACTCTAAGGCTATTCTCGGACACTTACAGTGTCGAGACCTCAAAAATAGGATATAGCCATCAGTCCTAAACTCCTATAAATGTAACTGGTTGTTCATATTACCTATGATGGGACAGAAGTTGTCCATATCATCACACTAGGTGCAAGGACCGTATGTCAAGATCGAATGCAAGCAGGCTACGTGCGTTCTTCTCGGTGCCTTCAAACACCGATACGTCCCCCATGATGATGCATGCAGCCCCGGGGCTTGTCTAAAAAGACGTTGGGGTATCTCTCCTGCATCCAGTGTTGTCAATGAGGGCGAAAGAAAGCAGCAAATAGGTTGTCGTGCAGACTATCCGTGCTGCTCCAGACATCGTCGCACTGTTTGTGTGTATAGTCGTGATACAGACAAGTTTAACTTCTGGCTCAAAGCCCACCATGTGGCCGTACGATCCTACAAGACCGACCTGACAAAATCGAGTGTTACTGGACGGAGGTCAGTGAGATACTGCCTGGCATTCAATATGACTGCCCTAATTTCATCGGTTCCATATTCGATTGACAATCATCGGATACTGACCATAGCGCGTAGCAATATCATGGGACGATACACCACATTCTCGATAAACCCAAATGCAGTAATTAAATCCTAACACGTGCTGGTAACCATTTCTTCTTCTTATACGAGATATACCAAGATCTTCTCTGACAAAAAATACTCCTTCAATTGCAATTTCCAAGTGAGAAACTCGCAATATAGGGTTTTTTCATACACAGTTTGAGATGCTGTTTCTCTCTCCTGCGTCGTTCGATTGTGCTTAAATACTAATCAATTGCAAATCGCAGCATTTCTTCCTTTTCTGCAAATCCGGCGATTGTACCCCATTTTCCTTTATGTTACACTTTTAAATTCCAACAGTATTCATAGTTTCTACACACATTTAACTAGTAATCTCTTCAAAGAATAGTACAATTTATATGTCATTGTAATTTGTTTAGCATTGGAAAAGCAACACACATATTTTCATGCTTTTTGTCTTTCAAAAATAAAATAACTACATTATATATATCTTTTGCATGGCATTTGAAGATGTTCTTGTATGTAACGAAATCCTTACACATAACAACAAAATAAACGAAAAGACTGTGAACAGTATGTTAAAACATCTTTTAGCTCTTATTTCATGTGTTTGTGAAACTGGTTCTTAATTATTTTTTAATATAAAACATAATTCCTACTTTTTTTCTATCAGGTACCCATGTAATGGAAGGCAGCGGGAAGATGGTTGTCACAGCTGTCGGAGTCAATTCGCAGGCTGGCATCATTTTCACTCTCCTGGGGGCTGCCAAAAACGAAGAGCACGCGGTGCAAAAACCTGCCCCGAAAGGTTTGCCGTCAATAATCTTTTTATATGCCTAACTTTTTTGTAATGTTTTACTTACTATTTCAATGGCTATTTGAAAATTATTACTTTAATATCCCAATGCACAAAAAGATAAGAAAATTGTTACTTGTTTTTTAAATATATATGTAATAATTCATTTTTAAATTTTCTTTAAAGGAATTTAAGCTCATAATGATCTTGAGCCCTTCAAAACTTCCCGTGATAATTAATTTCTAATCTACCCGACTAAAGGTAAATAACCATAACTTCAGCGTTTTTAAATCAGGATGGTGCAATCTCTCATCACCTGCGTATGTGAACCAATCATAAAAACCTTTACCGTAAATCTTATAATTTTAATAGGCTTTTAATGAAGGCTTTTGTGACGGTCTTAAATGTGCGTGTTTGTGTTTGTTCTGTGTACTTTCTATGTCGCCGCTTTACTCGTTTTGTTCGTCAATAAACTACGGAAGTTTGACTTCTAAAAAAAACCTCCTTATCCCTTCCACGACTGCATCAGAACCAAAAA